GCAGCTTGACTCCCATACTTAATGACGCAAAAGCGCCTCTTGATGTAATAGCTTTTACTGCAATTTCCTTGGGTTTGATATATGTGGGTTCCTGCAATGAGGAAGTTGCTCAGGCTATTATATTTGCTTTAATGGACCGAAGTGAGTCAGAATTGGGTGAGCCCCTCACTCGGCTTCTGCCTCTTGCACTTGGCCTTCTATACCTGGGAAAGCAGGTAAATAACATTTTTGGGCTTTTTGAATACAGTTGATTACATGATCTTGTGGTAGTAGATTGTTTATGTTTTAATTCAGTTTGAGAAAAAGTCTTGATATATGCAATTTTGCAAGGTTTCATCCTGACTTGTTTGTAAAAAATTTCACTCTTAATAGGAAAGTGTGGAAGCCACTGCAGAGGTCTCAAAAACGTTTAATGAAAAAATAAGAAAATATTGTGATATGACACTACTTTCTTGTGCCTACGCTGGAACTGGGAATGTTCTAAAGGTAAGCTCTTCATTCATTAAAATGCTCTTCAAATTCAAGTTGACATGAATATTAGCTTAACCTTTTCATTTGCAGGTCCAAAATCTTCTCGGTCATTGTGCTCAGCATCTTGAAAAGGGTGAAACCCACCAGGGTCCAGCTGTGCTTGGTATTGCCATGGTAGCAATGGCTGAAGAATTGGGTCTTGACATGTCAATTCGTTCACTAGAGCATCTTTTGCAATATGGTGAGCAGAATATCCGGCGTGCAGTTCCTTTGGCTCTTGGTCTTCTTTGCATATCAAACCCAAAGGTAAATCAATCTCATTAAAGGTCGCCGAACAACATGGTTTTATCATTTCAAGGGAACTTTCAGGTTGAGGATTTAAAGGCACCACCTTTTCATCATAGCCAATGAGCTACAGTATTTTATTGATCCATAGGGCATAGTGAACTGAAATTGATAAGCCGACTGCAATCAATATCGACTTTGTTTCTTCCCAATCTGCATTACCCTGTTCTTAAACCAAGATTTTAATATCAAGGAATATTAGTTAATAAAGCTGCAGAGTGAGGTTTGCATTACTCTTTCCTGTTATTTCATCTGCTCCATGTATATGTTATCCAGGTTAATGTGATGGACACTTTAAGCAGGCTGAGTCATGATTCAGATTCAGAAGTTGCAATGGTAAGATGATCTAAATGAAGATTTTTTTTTGTGTTGCTTTTTCCCATCAGCTTGACTCAATTGTTTTTATCGATACTCTGCAGGCTGCTATTATCTCCTTGGGTTTAATAGGTGCTGGAACAAACAATGCTCGAATAGCTAGCATGCTTCGCAACCTTTCAAGCTACTACTACAAAGATGCTAGCCTTCTATTTTGTGTATGTATTTTTGTACTCGTCTTTATAGTTTGTTCCATGATATCATGTGTTTTGTGAGACAACTAAGGTTGGATTGCTTGTCCAGGTTCGAATTGCTCAAGGTTTAGTACATTTGGGGAAGGGTCTGTTGACTCTTAATCCATATCATTCCGACCGCTTTTTGCTATCTCCGTAAGTGTTTCTTTCCACATAAGCATCCACCAAAGTAGAAAACGAAAATCACAAAATCATGTACACGGTTCTCCATCTTGGTTCACCTTACAAAAATTTCTCTTTTTTTTTTCATTCCAGGACTGCACTTGCTGGTTTGGTCACAATGCTGCATGCATGTCTTGATATGAAAGCTATGGTATTGGGGAAATACCATTATATTCTCTACTTAATTGTTTTGGCAATGCAGGTCAGTAATCGGTTTTGGTCATACTGCTTACTTTCCCCGTTCATGTGTTTGTCAATGCATTCTTTCCTCATTATCATAGAATATTATTTTCTTTACAGCCAAGGATGTTGATGACCGTTGATGAAAACCTCAAACCTCTATCTGTCTCGGTCCGTGTGGGTCAAGCTGTTGATGTTGTTGGGCAAGCCGGTCGACCCAAGACCATCACCGGCTTCCAAACCCATTCCACCCCGGTTCTTCTTGCTGCCTGTGATAGAGCAGAGCTGGCTACCGAAAAGTAAGTTACCTCCTCAATGAGCCTGTAATGAATGTTGCATGATTTATACAAATAGATGTCGGACTTTGATAACGATGTCCCATTTTTGGCAGGTATATTCCGCTGTCACCCATACTGGAGGGGCATGTTATTTTGAAAGAGAATCCAGAGTATAGAGAGGATAGTTAAAAAAGGCAAGAATTTGGTTGTTACTTTTTGATTGTGTAATGTAACTCTCCATATTTAGAGTTTTCTTTTTGTAACTTTGTTTTTTTCCATCATAAAGTTTAAATTGAACGAATAGGTATAAAAACTTGAAATTATCTTCTTAATTTCATCTGCTCGTGAGAAAAATTCATATTTTTCTTCTATTATCATTACAAATTTGAGGGAGGGAAACGGAATATACCGACTTTGGACTATTACAAAATGGTTATTAAATTTTGCGAACTTCTACAATTATTATATAACATGATTGTTTTATAACGTTTAAAAGTTTAATAATCAAATTGAGTATTTGAATGTAATTTAGTGATATTTTGATGTATTTTACACTTATCAAATTTAGTAGTGTTATTATTTTTGTTCACACATTTGTTCACACATTTTAGCGAGCATTTGATAATACTCCGTTAATGGTTTGACTGGTAGATACTTGGATGATATAATTAAAACATTTCAAGATTTGAGGATCAATTAAAATCCATGTCATAAGTTGAGGATGTTTGATATGGTTAATCAATCTATGAATTAATATTCCAATTACATCGCATATTTTCCAATTTACTTTGTCACAAAGCAAAGTTGTAGGATAATTTATAAAATGTATCTATAAATCAAGTCGTGATCTAATTTCAAAAGAAAATATTTCATTCAAATTCGTTTTTGAACACGGTGATTTAAAAAGGATAAATGAATAAAATAATTAGCATTTGATATGGCCCCCATGCATGTCTATAAATACTTATGATTCAATGTATTGAACCCATGGCCAATTCATTCTATGGTGTTGGCACGATACCTAGCTAGCTTATTAGGACCAATGAGTCATTTGGGAGAAAAAAGTTGTAAAAGTATGGGTGCTTGGGGTCCCATAAAGGACACTCAAATAATGAATAAAAAATGCAAAATGGTGAGCCAACAAAATAAAAGGTTAGGGTTGGTGGGGACCCAAGGCAGAGCTCTGCCCCTAGCTAAGGTCATTTTAGCATGGGCGATTGGGCTGTTCCCTCACCCACCCCCACACACCATTGTTGTGACAACCTCACCATTTGGTATCCATGTAACACAATACGATCATGTTTCAACTTTTAGTTTTTCCATGTTTAAGTATTATAAATGGATAATCAAATAATATAAAATGTATATAACCGTTGACTTAATTGTGATGCATTTAGACAATTCACTCTTTTTTTTTTTATTTAAACAAATAATCATAATCGATAGATTTATTATCGATAGTCTGTTGAAGATTATAAGTAATTTTTTTTATCGTCTGATTGGGAGAGAGAAAAGGAAAAAATCATCTTTTTTTTTCATGTCATAGGAATTTATATATTTATCTTTATTGTTAACGTTAGGGGTAGATATATAATGATTATTCATATGTTCTCAGAATGAATAGATTCAACTGTTAATAAATCATAGACTTATCAATCATCGCATCATGAAAGCATAGCTAATTTGAAGATATGGAGAATTCCAAAGAACGTGTTACGTCGGAGTTATATCCTAATGTGATCTACGAAGAAAGTTTAACAATAATATATAAAATAATTATCGATCCCGTTTCGCTCCGTTGTCATCCGAAAACCAAACTCGGCACTAGCAACAAGCCAATGGGTTGAATGATTGGGAGCAGAAGCATATGGGTTGAATCCCCCACCACCACAGCTACAAGTACCTTCCTAGGAAACAAATCAACATTATGACAGTACATGCCAATGCAATGCTGCACCTACATTTTCAACTTCAATCATTCTTTTTCTCTCTTTCTTGCCCATCAAAATCATTCCATTTTTCAATTTTACCCATCGGCTGATGGACTAATCCTTTTGTTTTCTAACTTCAATATTTTCCTTTATTTGTACTCATAAATAAAATTTTGTAATTACTATTCCATACATTATTAATAAAAAATAAACTCTAAACAATGTTTAGTTGATGTCAAGTTTCCCTTTAATCTATTTTTTAATGTTATGATGAATTATTTATATATGTGGGAGCAGAAGTATATATGTGTAATTTACCATAGTATGATAATGCCATGTCCTTGGGCAACATAAAAATATGAAATTACTTGTGTTTTTTTGTTAAATTTCTAAAAATAGAAGCATTATCGAAGTTTCTGTATATATTATATAAACTATAAAGGATTAAAAGGTTCTGGTTAAATTCCACCGCAGAATGCTTGCATGTTTGCCACGTAATCATCTAATGTATTTTTAACCCAAAATCTCGTTGTTCCTATTAGGTTAACCACGTAAATCGCTTGAATTGCAAACATATATACATAGACATATATACATAGACATATATACATAGACATAGATTTTATTAATATATATATATATATATATATATATATATATATATATATTAATAAAATCTTGTTTTAATGATAAAATTGGAACATTAAAAATAGAGACAACCACTAAAATCATAAAATTATAAATTAATTGAAAATAAAATTATTATTCATTACAAAATTGTAGTTAATACAGTAAAGAAAGTATAAATTAACATAAAAAAATAAATAGTTCAATTTTGTAGTATCCTACAATGTGTAACCCTAATGTAAATTCTAGGGTTATGTTTATTCTTATTTAAATATATGTATAAGGAGAATGAAGACCTGTCTTCATCAATTAATTCAAAAGCTAAATGTTACAAAAAAAGAAGATAATGTTATCAAATCTCTTAAGAAGAAAGGTTCACTGAGAAGGGAACTAACACAAATCAAAAGTTTGAAACAATAATAATCAAATCAGCAATCTTCAACCCAAATCACACATAAATATATAACACTTTGAACATCTCATACATGAATGTATGTCAAGTCTTCATCATCATCATAATATATAATGGTTGATCATTCTCCAATTCTCTACATAAGCAGCTCATTAACCCACCCAATATCAGGATCAGGATCACAAACGACGGCGTTTTGCTGCTGAGCATCTTCCCCGCTGGACGGAACATCAGGCCAGGGACTATTAATGTCTTCATTCCCAGCAGCAGCCACTGGCGAAGTAAGGTTCATGGTTTCCAACGAACTCATCAGCTCGTTGAAAAAAACATCACCGTAACTGCTCGTCATTTCTGTCCGAAGCTTACTTAAACGATCACTGTACCTTGAGACTCGTGAAAAACTAGTTGTCTGGTTTAACGGCGACAGTAACGGCGATCTCGAAAACTGAGGTAGACCCATTAAAGTACTCGTGGGGGACGAGGTAACAGGGTGACAAAACAAGCAACAATGGTTGTTTTTGTTGTCTGAACTTTTGTACTTGGGCAATGGCGGCTCCGGCAAGAGACGAAGCTCACGTGAAGAGTGAGCGAAAAAGCAAACCTTACGCTTGCAGTTCTTGCCATCTTTGCAAGCCTCGGTTCTGTAACGTGTAGGGTGGAGCCAGCATTCGAACACCCCGTGAGCGAACTCGCAGTCGTCCCCGCGAGGGCATCCGCCGCCGCTCCGAAAGTCGGAGCAGATGGTGGAGGAGTACCGGTACCGTCTCGGGTCGCGGCGGCGGGCCTTCTCGCCGGGATGAACAAAGGGGCAGTCGGTCCAATCGTGATTGCGGCTCCTAGTGCAGTTCCTCACCTTGAACTCGTACATGCGGAAATGGTCACTGCCGTAGGGATCATCGGCGCCAACGCGGTCGTCTTGTTGATGAAGTTTGTTGTTGGAAGGGAGGTTCAGGGCGGCGTGGGAACATTGTTGGAGTTTCCTTGGAGGGATTTCAATGTCGTTGAAGGGCATATTCAAGGAGAGATGATGGTGTGAAGGGTCACAAGCAGTGCTCATGGAGAATAAAGTGTTGAGTGGTATTGGGACAAAGGACTTTGGAGGGGGACTTGCGTATATATATAGGAGCCATGGGGAGAAAACTCATATAAAATATAATATTAAAAAGAATATTAAAATAGTTAATACTATTTGTAAACTAAAACTTTTTTAAATTCTAAATTTTATGAATGGAAAAAAGAAATATAATTTAAGTGTGGAAAGGTCTGGAAAGAAGTTAGGTATGGGTGAAGAGATGCGTGGCGGAAGATGATTAGGGATAAGCATGCAAAAAGGGGATCGTGGCATCTACATAAAGCCCAGCGTTGCAATGTGTTGCCTTCTTCCTGAGAAAACCCCACTAAGCTGTTGCCTTTGGATTTCTCCTTCTGGGATCACCCTGACTTGATCCTCATGTCTTTGCAACTTTGCACATCAAGCTCTCCTACATGTGTCACCCGTCCATTCATATGCACACGAACATAGATGGGTATTCGACCCTAACTTCATACATTTTGATTCGACTTAATTTTATAACATTGTTTTGAAAAATATCAAAGTCAAGTCATACTCATTTAAAAGATAATATCATATTAAATTTAAAATGAAAAATATCTAATTTAATTGAAAAATAATAATATAACTGATAAGTGAAGAATGATTATTATAATAATTTTTACATATTTTTAATTAAATTCTTATTTTATTTAATAAAAATGATAATTGTATATATACATTTATTTATATCATATCGGATCATGAAAAATATAAATTTTTATTCTAAAAATTGTTTGGATCTCAAATCTAATAAAACTTTTCTAAATCTATATCAAATTGAATGAAAAGTAAAAAATAATTATATTTAAATTTGATTCTAGTGGCTCAAAATTCCTACTCGACCTAACAATATTCATATATATAAAAAAAATAGACTCATCATTCTCATAAGCACTAATTTCATTACAAATTAATCAACAGTAAACGGTAGTTTCCAGATAATTCATCCTAGCATATATCAAACGCCTAATTTCATCGTACTTAATCATGATTAATATCGAAATAAATATCAATTTAAAACATAACATTACATTACGATATTAATCTAAATCTGTGCATAGCTGAGGCGTTACCCGGAACATTTCATGGCAACAGAAACCGGGAAACTGACGTGAGTTCGACACTCGTCAGGAAGAGACTGGATCCGTGAAGCGATGAACGGAACGTTCATTACGTAGTCCAAATCTTCGATGCACTGGCATATGCTTTTCGGGCCCTTCCCATTATGCCTCACAAGTTGGTTGAGTTCTTCAAGACCACCACAACAACCGTCTGCCGGTCTCGATTCGAATCCGACTAGATACGTTATGCATGGAAAGAAGTGATCCGTCACTCTCGAGCAATAATTTGGTTTTCTTCCGGCGGCTGAGCCGATAATCAGAAGGAAAATTATGATACAAGAAATAAGCCGAGACATTGTTGTTTCAAAGGTTATGGAGGTCGATTGCACAATATCGGATTATAAATTAGGTTGGCTAAAAATTTGTGACATGTAAGTGTCATGCTCCATAGATTATAAAACTAAACCTATCTTAGAGCAATATAAGTGTTGTTAATAAGGCATGCGATTTACATGAGATTTAACAAGGCTAAAAGTTTAGTATTGTAAAGTGTTCTCACATATGCTATACATGATCCAAGAAGATCTATCATGGAACATTTTTAATATCAATCTATTTGCGTCATAAAATATTGTGTTATATTTATAAATTAAATCTGCTCACGATCCGAAATAAATTATAATATATATTTTTATTTAGATGGTTGGAATTTATTGTTTATTTATTATTTTTAAAAATAATTTTAAATTAGATTCATTGAATTTTTTATCCACAAACCACACGTTTATTTTGGATTTCGGATGGGGATTAGTATTGAATTTGAATTCAACGAGCTTCGATCTGATCTAAGTAGAATAGATTTTTTTTTTAAAAATCTGAGATAAGTCGGGTTGACTTTTTTAAAGAAAAAGATCGAGTCAGATTTAGAGCAAAATACATAATTTGACCCGAGAATAATAATATAAATTTATTTTTATATATTTGAAGATAATTACTTTAAACTTTTTCTCTTTATATATATTTTTATATTAAGTGCTTATTTTATCGAATAAAAATGAAAATTATATATGTCTCAGTTAGGTGTGGATTTTATTATAAAATCGGATCAAATTTTAGACCGGATAATGCTTCCTCAAACCCAGATCATATCAGGTGACGGCTAAAGAGATGTTATACCCGAGTCGAACTCAAGTGGACCAAAAACATGATACGACCCGAACCAACCAATCCATATTACCACTAATTTCATATAATAATAATAATAATAATAATAATAATAATAATAATAATAATGAGATCCTACCCGGAATAAATTCAACTACTTCGTATGACTAAAGAGCGTGCGAAAATAGCCGATGGAATGACACCTCATTTCAGCAAACAGTCACAAAACCCGACCGTTAGACCCCCTTCCGCAAAATTCAAAAAAAGAAATAAGAAAAGAAATTCGAACGTTGCAGTTCCCAAACCATTTCTTTCATTATTTTACTACTAGCGCAACAGATTATTAAAAAATCCAAAATCGAACACTGAAAACTTTCACCAAATTCAATCCCTCCCCGCAAACAAAAACAGTGAGAAATCCCTCTGTTTCGGAATACGATGGATGAATCATCTGCGACAGCACCTATTGACGAGTTTTTCGAGTTCTCGGCGCCGAGTTTCTTCGATTTCATGAAAGGAGAATCGGAAGAAGAAACGCGAAACGCTGAGCTCTGGTTCGAAACCGCCTTAAGCTATGCTCCTTCTCGTACGCACTTTCTCTCTCTTTGCTATTTCTTTCTTTGTGTTAACCATTAACAGAATTAAGTAATCCTTCACTCTTTGTATCATTCTTTTCTCTGTAACCGTATCGTTTTGATGGGAAATTCTTGATATTTCTTGGAATTTTTAGGGTTTTGATATAATCTTTTCTCTCCTTTTTAAGGGGGGGTGTGTGTGGGGGGGGGGAGGATAGCAATTAGTGGCTTCCAATTTTAACTTGATTGGCTTTAATTGTTTATTACTGAAATTTATATCCCAAAGTTCTAGTGTTCGAGGTCCTTTAGTTGCTTAGATATGATTTTAATTTTTAATTGTTTGGTTCCTTAGTTCTGGTAGGGAAAGAAAAATAAATTATGATGTCTTTAAGCATAACCTAATAATTTTTTATTCTTCCCAGAATATTTACTTCAAATGAATTAAGCATGATCTAATTAGGTTAGTTTTCAATGATATGACGTGTAAACTTAATCACCAATTAAAGCTGTTGCATTTTTACGAGGAGAGAACTGGAGATTTCAAGGATTAATCACCGATTAAAATTGATGCATTCTTATCGAAGAGAAAACTGGAGAAATTTTAATTTCCTTTCTGGTTTTTTCCCTAATGCAGCTTTTATGGCTAGAATCAAGACTGGTAGTAGATACTTTCAGGTGGAAAGTCTCTGCAATTTCAGCAAAGAAGATCAACTGCAGAAGGTTCGAATTATTTTATATATGCATTTACTAGTCAACTAAGGCACTAGTGTAATGTCAAATGACTTTCGATGATTTCATATATGCCCTTTACTAAATTTCAGTATCTTATAAGGCAACTTCTCTCATTTCAATCATGATATATATATATATATATATATAATATTATTGATGCAGGCATCTGAATCATCTGGTGAAACGGCATCTAACAGTAACTCAGAAGATAAGACTCAAGCGAAGTTCGTGCCTGATAAAGTTAACGAAGAAATTAAACCCTCTGGGGCAAAGGTAATTAGTGCACTTTTTTGTTTCCCATCCATTTTGAGTGTTGATTAGTTTTCACGTATTCTCATGATTTAAATGCTTTGTAGATTACTAATGAAGAAAAAGATAAGGAAAACATAGGGACTGTATGTGCTCAAGCAAATGGAAGGTTTGTTCTTAGGGTTCTTTAAAAAAAATTCAACAGTAACTGAGTTCTGTTTGAGTACTTTGGTTTTCATTAACGTGTCTTTGGTTCCTTTCTGTTGAATTTTCAGTGCCCTATCTGAAAAATCACATTTAAATGCTTCTGGTGATGAAGAGAAAAGCAAATCCACTGTGAAAGTAGAAACCGAAGCTTGCACCCCTAAACCATTGATGAATTCTCAGAAAAAACCGGTGAGCGACAAGAAGCGTCAGACAGCTAAAAGGATAGCTAGTACTATCAGGAACTCGTCAGTGTTGAAGCCTAAAACTGGCAATGTTGGAGCTCCTAATTTGGCTCTAGAAAGCCAAGCCATCAAACGCCAGAAGCTAGATGGTGGAAGATCTAGACAGGTGCTTTTATGCTCTCTTACCCCTTGCTTGATTTTACAGTTACTTTGTAACTTTAATCTTAAGTTCTGTATTTTTGTTGTTTCCTTCTCTGTATCTCAGATCCTCGATGTGAAGCCCCAAAACTTACCCCACAAGTCAAAACTTGCTCTTGACAGTGGCAGTTCCAACTTGAACTCTTCTACTACGAAAACTTCTAGCAAATTGGATAGAAAGGTTTGTTTCTATGTGATAAGTTCCTCCATCGTATATTTTCACTAACAATTGTGAATACATATTAAAAGTTGCTTTGTGTGTTCCTTGAAGGTTTATGTTCGAGAACAAGAAGCACCATTTGTTTCAATGGCAGAAATGATGAACAAATTCCAATCTTGTACCAGAGATTTGTCGCTTCCTGGCAGTTCTTTGTCAAATGTAAATAAACAGGATCACATCATTTTGGCTCCGATAAGGATTTGGTTCCTAGAACCTCCTTGCTTCCTTTCTTCTTTCACTAAATTCCTTCCAACTAATCAGGATAACGCTTCTACTGTTCAGATGCCAATGCTCAAATTGACAAGGCCTAAAGAACCTGAATTTGAAACAGCACACAGAATGCACCCGGTTAGAGTGAAGAGCACTGCAGAGCTTGAGGAAGAAATGATGGCTAAAATTCCAAAGTTCAAAGCGAGGCCATTGAACAAGAAGGTCTAATGTTTGTGCCATCTGATTTATGTGTATCAAACTGATCTTTCTTTGTTCTTTACTGTTAAAGATTTTTATCCGGTAAGCTTTCTTTAACTTGTTTTCCATTTTTTTCTGGTGCAGATTTTTGAAGCTTCAACAACACTAACTTCATTACCTAGAAGTACTCCAGTGCCTCCAGAATTTCAGGTAAATTGTGCTGTTAAGCATAAGTGGTGGCATGAGATGAAAATGAAAAGAATTCTTGGCAGACTAAAAAGTGTATTCTGTTTCAGGAATTTCATTTTGAGACAACGGCTAGAGCAAGTAAGGATGCAGAGACATCTTCAGTAGCTTCAATGGAAGTGTCTCGTCAGGTTCAGAGAACTATATCCCATACATTTGATACTTTTTCATTTGGAACCTTGAATAGCTCGCTTACCTTTCTCTCTTTTTCCCTGTAGCAGAATAATGAATGGAAACCTCAGCTCACAGAACCTAAATCTCCCTTGCTTCAAACATCTTTGAGGGCAAAGCCTCCAAAGGTCAAAAGTTCCATTGAACTTGAGCAGGAGGAACTTGAAAAAGCACCTAAATTTAAAGCAAGGCCATTGAATAAAAAGGTACTTTTCCCATCATTTCTATTCTGCATTGTATAATACAGCAACGAATAACAATGTTTACTTAAGAAAGTAACCCTAGTTGTTGCCTTGCATAGATCTTTGAGAGCAAAGGAGAATTGGGAATCTTCTGTAACGCAAAGAAACAGATGACTATACCTCAAGAATTCCATTTTGCAACACATGAGAGGATACCTCCACCACCAGTAGCAGTTTTTGATTTATTGGATAAGGTCACCAACTGGTTATTATAGTAGTGATTTGAGCATATGAATTTTGAGGGAAACAACTATTTAAATGTTTGTTCCCTGTCACAGCTTTCTCTGAATTCAGAATCGAGACACGATCCAATTTCAAGAAACACCATTCCCAATCCATTCCATCTCCACACAGAGGTACATTTCCTTTTTAATGGTATAATACCTGGAAAGATAGAGTTCAGTATTTTATGATGTCCCAAATGATCTTCAGGAAAGAGGTGCTGAAAAAGAAAAGAAGTTTGTGAGGGAGATTTTAGAGAAGCAGTTTGAAGAGGAACAAGCCAGGGTCCCCAAGGCTACCTCATATCCATACACCACTGACTATCCTGTGGTATGTTAAATTCTTTGTTCTTTCATTTTGATGTTTTGCTCAATCATGAGTTACTGAGGGTTTAAATTTTTGTTTTTCTTACGCAGGTCCCTCTGAAACCCGAACCGAAGCAGTGTACAAAACCGGAACCCTTCCAATTGGAGAGTCTGGTGAGGCACGAGGAGAAGATGAAACGAGAGATGGAAGAAAGAAAGAAGAAGCTCTGATGAG